TTTTTTTTAATTTTGCTTTCTTCAAACTGATTGCTTATGGCTGAACTAATAACATTTCTTATTTTTTACTTCTATTTGCTATTTATTTGCAGACTTTAGGGCCTACTTCTTTTGCTTCCACTCCTACAGGTCATGTGACAAATTTGTCATCAACTTCATTAGGATCTTCAAAAATCAACTACAGGTATTAGTTTTATGATTTTGCGGAATGTTTCTCTCAACGACGGCAAACTTCTTTTGATTTTATTATTATGTTTTATGTTAGCTGACCTTTATCTTCTTTTGTTAGGCCACTTCTGGCTGATATTGTCCACACAGAGGATGTGAAGGAGCTCTGCAGGATTTTGGTATTGGTATCAAGACAGGCTGCGAAAACGGCTGCTGGTATGAAAATTCTCATTTTGCAATATTACCCGCATTCCAGAAATATTTCTTACCTCCTTTATTTCCATCTTCCCAGTGCAATATTTGCTACATTTGCTACTCTATCTGCCATATATGATTATTGCCTCAAATCACATATATTTATTCTGGATTAGTTTACATGTTCTTACAATAAGCCTAAACATTAAGCTGATTTTCTCTCTTTTCTATCGGTTCGGAATCAAATTATTAAACCGAACATATGTTTAAGGAAATTGCATGATGCCTGTGATATGATTTTAAAGATGACATGGCCTTGCAATTCTATTTTGATTTGACATTGGTAAATTGATTGAGTACCGTTGGGTATGATTCTTTTTAGCTTGGTATTATTCTTGGTTCCTTCATGTTCAGGATTTATTAATCGGTGATTTCTTTTCTTTACATATTTGTATTCTTTAATTTTAATAATTGATTTGTATGCGTAACTTATGATTTACAAATTTAACACAATTTAAATTTCAATTGTAATGTGAGTTTCAATCTACCTTTTGAATTCTTATGTATCTTTAAATGTTTTATAATTGTCAGCTGTTAAATTATCATTTTTGTGGATATTATGTAACTATGTATTTCATTTAAGGGAGCAAACAATTGTAGATTGCCTAAGTTAAGTGTTTGTGAACCTCAAATTTGAACTTTGAGCATGATTTTGTTCGTCCTATTATAAGTTTGAAAGATTTACATGCGTACCACTCAAGTCATATGTATTTACATAGCTAACAACTAAACTTTAATTTGGACAACATGCCGCCTAACCTATGCGTGAAAAAGTGTATTATTCACTTTTTGAAAGTTTAAAAGGTGATATTTTTCATTTGATATGAAAGATTGGCGTGGTATAAAATGTAAAAGTAAAGTTTAGGTGTGAGGAATTGGGTGGATGTCCCTATAAATTTATAGGCATTCGACATCAAATTTGGTATCTGACCTTAAGATAGTATGAACATATCAACCAGGGATTGGGCTCAAAATCATGGTTATTTAAAAGATGATATTTTGAAAAATTACTTGGCTAAATTGTTATAGAAATAAAACAAAATAAGTGAGGATATAATCAAGGTAAGAGTAGATTGAAACATTGGAAATTACACAGTTTCCACCGCATGAAGAAGTTAACTCTAACCATAATATTGGTCTCAAGAGTAAATCAATCAAAATAAGTGTTTTAGGTTGTATGATAATAAACTTATGATACATTTAGATGTCAACCATATGATTTTAAAGATAATATATGATAAGCTAAAATTGAAGCGTTTGCATTTGATGAGATATAATATTGTAAAATTTTCTATGGTTGGGCTATGGATAATTGTTTTGAATGATGAACAATGTCAATTCAATGCTAGGGAAGATGTATTAAGTTGAAATCATCTGCGCAAATTAAAGTGTATTGGATGTTTATGGAAAATAACTAATTAGGAAACTATTGGGTTAGATGATGTATAATTTGTTTGGCTGAAAATAAAAGATTTGCTTGTTGAAAAGCTCCTGCCATTATCCTATCTTGATTGAATGCTGAATGAATTAAATGCTTTAAAACAAATGACAATAGGTAACATTGGATATGAATCCGATTGAGAAAATTTTATTTTATTTTCCAAATCATTGAAGATACTAAAATAACCTTTTTTTAAAGTTTAAATCTTGAATAAAATTTATTATTAGAAGGGAAATTAAACCTCTTGGTGTTCCCTCATTTGGTTATGCTTATAAATTTGCATTAGATTTTGAGCAAAATTTGAAATTTTTTACTACTAAAACGGCAACTAAATATAAGCACATATAAGTACATGTTTTTGTTAAATGATCAAACTCAATCAGTTGTATCCACAAATGCAAAAGAAAATAATACTATTTGGCTTTAAAATTTATGTTTAATGTCATTTAGCATATTGCTATTCGACAAATTCCCTGGTATGAACCTACATATTAATGTGGAAGACGTAGACATTGAAATCATTGAGGATGATATTTATTAATTTGAAGTATTCAAAACTTTTTCTTATCAATAATTTTCTTAATGTTATGCACTGCATAATTGCCACATCTAAATTTTGGTTTAATTGAAAAAAAATATGTTTTTCAAACTTTTTTTAAGCATAATGATAAAATAAAAACTTATTATGGATAGGGAATGTTGTATGAATGTTGTGGCTATGTCTGGCATTTGATTGTTTGAAACTTAAAACTATTCAATATCAATTATCATATAAAATAATATGGGTAGATAGGATAATAATTTTTTATGTAAATGTTTAGTGTCAAATTAACTTGCTATATATGATGATAGGTTTGGTGTGATATATGCAACTTGCTTAAAAAATTATGATATTAAAGTGCCAAAAAAAAAACAGTTGGACAATAATTTTATTGCTTAGTAAACCTAAAAGCAAGTTTATTTCATTTTTAAAAGAATTTTGCACACCCAATGAATAGAATAAATCATTGTATATTTTAAATCAACATGTTCCTGAAAGGAGGCTTGAAGGGGGATTGCATTCTTGCTTTTGTAGCTATATAACTGAAAGATATTATGATCTTCTTGATGAATTATCACCTCATAGAAATTCTCAAACATGCTATTATTTGATGTTCATATATTTTCTTAACCAATTTTCATATTATATGATGAACACCCTTGAACATGCTTAACTTAAAATTAAGTTAATGGTTTGTCTCGAAAAGGTGTGAAAGGAGGGGGATTGCATTCTTGCTTTTGCGGCTATATAACTGAAAGATATTATGATCTTCTTGATGAATTATCACCTCATAGAAATTCTCAAACACACTATTATTTGATGTTCATATATTTTCTTTACTAATTTTCATATTATATGATGAACACTCTTGAACATGTTGAACTTAAAATTAAGTTAATGGTTTGTCTCGAAAAGGATTTTATTAGAGGAAGAGTCCTTCTTCGACTAATACTTTTCTTACACTTGAGAAAGATGAAAAAAAGCGAGTGAGAGTTGACAATGCAACAATTTATCAGATTGTCATTAAATATTAATCTCCTACACCTAAATTGGATGATATGCTAGATACAAGGAGTTTACTGTTATTATTATTATTTTTTAAATTGAAATGAGAAGTTGCTATCATCAAGTAAAAATGCACGAAGGAGAAGAATGTAAAACTATTTTTAAAACTAATGATATATTAGATAAAATGATAGTGATGCATTTTGAATAAACTAATATATCAAGCTTTTTTAAGAGAATTCTGAATCTTGTTCAACCTTTCAATTAGAAAATTTTTTGGTTGTATGTTTTAGTGATATATCGGAGAAATAATAGAGTTAGAATGGATCATTTTGCTAACTTTTTAGGAATTGCAAGATAAGAAAATATATTTGCATATGATGAAGTGTTTGTTCTATCATTTGTGATTTCTTTCTTTTTGTTTTTAATTTGTTTTGTGAAGGAGTTTTTATTAATATTGATAAATTTAAAACATATAATTATTAGCCATCACCTATTAATATTCATGAGATTTGGAGTTTTTATGCCTTGGCTATGTTTTGTAGAGGATTTGTTAAGAGATTCAATCCTGTAATGACATCAATTACCAATTGTCTTAAAATGGAATTGTTTTATTTGATAGAATCTGTAGATCATGTTTTTACAATATTAAAGAATGTTCCCAGTTTTGCATAAAAATTTAGATTTTATTAAGGCCTTTAAAGTTCCTTATGATGCTATTATAGGTGTTTAAAGTCAAGAAGAACATTTTATTTCTTATTTTAGTGAGAAATTAAACAATTTTAGCAAAATATCAAATTAAAATTATAATAAGGAGTTCAATGCAGTTGTCTAACCTCTTTGATGGTAGAAGCAATATCTATTATCCAAATAGTTTATCTTATATTATGATCTAGTTTCAAAGTATTTGAACATTTACAAGAGCACCCTTTTATCATGAAATATCATGTTGGGATGAAAGTAAATTTGTTGCATTGACAAGGATTGCCATTATTTTGCACAATGAAAAGTAAGATGATGTTTTTTTTTTATAATTTTAAGAAAATTATGTCATAAACATGATGATGTTTTTTTATAATTTTAAGAAAATTATGTCATAAACAATAAGGCATAGGGCTAAACTTTGTTCAATAAAAGAATCATAAGTAATAATCAATGTTATTTTCATAATAGTTATAGAAAGTATACAGATGACAGAATTTTCAATATGATATCATTTAATGGTGTTTTATATGCAATATGAGTTCATAAACATTTTTATGCATGCTGATGATCATTTGTATGCAGCATATATTTATACATCTATAAATAACTCACTAATTATTATCATAATAGTTTTATATTTGTATTTTTCAACAGTTGGTCTACTAAGATACTCGTAACTGAAAGGTTTCACCAACCCCATGGAGATCCCATGGTTTCCCAAAAGATACTCTGGATCAACTAGCTTAGCAAAATGGATTTCACTGATAATATCTGCATCATACTTGAGCATTCATCATATAAGTTCTATATTATGAGAAAAATCCTTGCTGAAAATTTTATAATCATTATGATCAAAATTTGCTACATATTAACATAAAATGCTATTATTTTTCCTTCACATGCATAAAATTTCTGAAAATTTGAACATTTTATCTTATATTAATTACAGATAAAGGAGTTCATGAGAGAAGGATGGCTGAGATGGACGAACAAACTGAAAGTTCACTCGCTTCATCGAGCCGCGATAAGGACGAGACTCAAAAGGATGTGGATATTCAGAAAACATCGGCCGATGACCGACTCAGTGGAACTCAGGCTGACAAAATGAGCACAGAAGAGTCAGGTTCGGATTTGGTGGATGTAGCAAAAGTCGGAAGGCCGATGTCCCCCGGAACTCTTGCGTTAATGTGTGATGAGCAGGACTTGCTTTTTATGTCGTCTCAGGACCCGAATCCGCCTTTGAGGCTTCCTTACGACCAGAGTGTGACAGAGTGGTATGCAGAGCAAGAGAAATGCGTGTTGATGGCCTATCGAGAGTCCCTACTCAAACTCATTAATTGTGGAACAGCCAAAGGTGAGTTGATTTTCTAATGGGGCATTATTTACATACATATCATTCAATTCCTCTTTGTTTACATATCAAACACCCAAATCTTTAAATCACCTACACCTTTTAATGCATAGAATAGGTTGTACGCATGTAAAAAATTTAAGTTTGGGTGTTAGATATGTAAATTCTTAGGATTTGAGTGGTATTTTTGTAAATCTTCCTTTCTAAATTAAAGTCTGTTTTGTATGGTTATAACTATTAAATTTTTGTAAATTTTTAAAAGATTGAGGCTAAATATCTTTTGCTAATTGCATTGAGTTAAATAAAACAAAGACAAATTTAACATACATACCATACAATTCCTATGTATTTACATATCTAACCCTCAAAATTCAATATTTACATCTATAACACTTTGCTGTCATAAACCGGTGCGTGAAAATGTTGATTAAAAGACTAAACTCAGACTAAAATGACCCTCTGCAAAGCATCATGAGACTATTTTGACACTTTTTATTTTGAAGTAACTTTACTTCCTTCTTTATAAGAATCTTAGTTACAGAAACAAATGTTTATTTTGCAGAAGCAAAGTTATCTTCAATGGCTTCAAAGTCAGAGAAATTCAGTCAGCAGGAGCTCTTTCAGAATGTAAATGGCAATGCATTACCAGCTTTCTCAAATGGCAATGTAGCTTCAAGAGGTGGAAACCAAACTCTAGAAAATGGTTTCTTAAAACCTAAGATTGAGAATTTTGAGATGTAGAGTACAAAACAAAAGGAAAATTTACATACATACCCCTTAGTTCTCATGTATTTATGTATCTAACAACTAAAGCTTAAATTTTTACGTGCAAGCCGCCTTACCTTTGCATGAAAGGTGTGTTTCGATTCGTAAAATAAAGTAATGATACGAAAGACTTGGATGGTATGAATGTAAAAAAAGTAAAAGTTTAGGAGTTAGATATGTAATTACATAGGAATTAGGAGGTATGTATGTAAATGCCCCCCAACAAAATAATATTTACAGAAATCTTGAGATCATCTTGTAGAGTTTGTTCTGGCAGCCATTAAAATGCTGTTGGAAGCTCCCAATCCTGACTGCAGTCATTGTAACCTGTCAGTAGGGTAGAAGTGGTCAGCTTCAATCTGCATAGTTTTCCTCAGTTGTAATTTATAGATAACATTTATTCTTTTTTTTTAAAATGTTGATTTACATCAGTAGTTTTATCTTGAGATTTTGCAGAATCTGTCATACCTGCTGCTGTTGTTGTTTCATTTTATATATATATATATATATATTAAAAAAAAGAATGGTCAGATGCTATTATACGAGCCCCGGTCATCCCTTATGCATCTAACTATTCGAGTATCACCCTACATTCGGGGGATTTGAATCTTGGACCAGAGGGGACTTGTAACCGACAAGCATATGTCTGACCAACTAATCTGAGCACGTGGCGTATACCCTGACTTGTTGGTTGACATATGCGACGTCAGCTGTAACAACTATGAAGTTGGTAGTTTGAATCCCCCTCTGGCTACGGTTGTCTTATGAAGGGTGGTATTAGAATTGTTAGATACGTAAGAGTGGCTTGGTACAATTTCTTTTTATATATATATATATATATATATATATAGTTTACCTCCAAAATGATAAATTTATAAATATCAATATTTCAAGTGGCCTATTTGCAATTATTTTTTGTTTTCTTTATACATTGTCATTACTTAAGTTATTCTAATAATGACTGATGATTTTGTATCCTATGATAAACAAAATTAAGTAATTTTATCATATAATTTTATTTTAAATAACATAACTTTAATCAAAGGTGTGAAAATAAGATTATATATCAAACCGAAATAAGTAAATGTTCAAAACATAATGGTTCAATTAAGATTGAAATAATAAATATTTAAATTATTTTAATATACATTATATAATATAATAATGATATATTAATATCAATTTTATAGACTCAAGAAATAATATTTTAATTAAAGAAATTTTTAAATATTTTAAATAATATTCTAAAAAAAAATTAAATGGACGATATTTTTGATTATATTTAACTTAAATATCTTATTTTCCATCATCCAATCAAAATTAAAAAAAAAACTAAAATTAAATAATATTGGAACCTACCGGTTCTTTAAAAACCAAACAAGTTCACCCATCCTTTAGTTCAACCCTGATTATATGCACAAACGATTCTACTTGGACCAAACCGGTTGAATGACCGATTCAAATTGAACCGGTCCGGTCCAATTTTTAAAACCGGACTTCCATAATATTTATCAATATGATAACATTATGGGTTACATGATAATATGATGCAAAAAAAAATTATATTGGCATTTACATACATAGCACAAAATTCAGATGTATTTACATATCTAACACCTAAACATTCAGATTCAGGTGCATAACACTCAAATCTTTAACATCACATCAAAAACATGCTCATCACCATCATTTTAAAGTGAAATGCACATTTTCATGTATAATTTATGCCGCCGCCAAAATATTATAACTGGAAATATCAAATTTGTTGGTGGAAATGTAAATACATGAGAATTGTGGGGTGTGTATGTAAATTCTCTTGAATTTTTGGACACCGCTACAGCTGATGAATTAATTGTATGCTATATAACTCACAAAACACAAATCTTCAGTAATTCAAGTTATAACAATATCAGCAACAAGAAACTCAGCCACCAAATGCTACTGGCCCAATACATCAGATAAGGAATCCTTTATTATTTTGAAAAACTCTTCCCTGTTAAGAGAAATTATTAATCACATATTAGGAGCAAAAATTAGAAGTAAATTCAAAAAATAAAAATGCCTCAATGATTCCAGGCTTTAAACAAACATCAAGGGGAGAGCAAATATGGTTACTGAATTTCAAATTTGAAATTGCAACAAAATGATGACATGATCCCCGAATTAGGGTTAATTCTAGAGTGAAGATAGTGTCGGCTAGGGGTTTGGACCTTCAGGGTCATGGTAAAGGGATCGGCTAGCGGGCTGGAAAAGGGTGGCAGCGATGAGAGAATGCAAAGGTAGGCAAGGGGAGGTGGAGAGCGACAAGAACAGCCTTGGAGGTGTGTTGTTCAGGGTGGCGACAGAAAGGAAAATTAGAAAAACAGCATGATTGTTGTTTCTGAGGTGGCGGCACTAAGGGGAAAGCACCAAGGGTGAAGGGAGTCGATGCGGGAAAGGATGGGACATGGCATAGAGTAAGGATAAACACTACCTGAAGACCAAAATATAGTTGGAGCACTACTGAGAACACTAGATACTGCCCGTGAAGGGAAAAGAGACGTCGACAGTTATGCTGAAATAAAGCATAGCAAAAGCTAACCCTAAAACACCACAAAAGAAAATATATAATCCTATGTAACAAGGAGTGGGCCCCTTATTGAAAAGGGTGACACTCCCCCTTGAGAGAGTCGGTCTACCATCATAAACCCTAGGTCGAATCAGTCCAAGCAACAGGTGGCGTCCGCGACAGTTTTTTACCGTATTGTAGACAACAAGGTAGGTGACACCCACATTGGTCGCCCGATGTTGACAAAGCTTCGACCTCATCTGTTAAAAGTGTTGTCTCCTCATAGTATAGAGTCAGCTTGGCCACGTTGAACGTAGTGGAATTGTTGTAATTTCCCCGCAAATCAATCTTCTAGGTATTGTTATTCAACTTTAGAGGATTCTGAAAAAGTCCATTTGCTTTGGGTTTGAGTTTCCCAAAAGACCCCATGGGAAACCTTTCTTTCTTCAATCTGATCCATACTAAATCTCCCTCCTAAAAAGTCACATTCATCTTGGTTTTATTAGCTTGCTCTTGATAATTGTGATTCTTTATGGTGATCTCTTTCCCAACTTCCTCATGTAGCCTCTGAATCTCCTACAGTCTAGCCTCATCATCAACACTAACCTCTGTAGCAGGAAGAAGTGAAATCAACTTAAGTGGGGTGAGTTGAGTTTGTCATGTAGTCTCAAAGGTAGTGTGTCATGTAGTCTAACTCACGAATCTACTGAAAGAAAATTCAGCCAAGGCTATAATTAGATCTCAACTCAAAGAGAGATTTTCAAAGAGAGATTTTTCTTCACCTTATGGCAATAAGTTTTACTCCTATCAGTTGGCACTTCTTTATACTCAAAAATCCTCTCAACCGTCTGTAAGCACTCGATGAAGTCATCTGAATTCATTCTCCCCTCGAAATCCAACAAGTCTACCTTCACCACAATGTCACTCAATCTTCCAAAAGTCACTCCATCTCTCGGCCTACTCTGATAATGGATCCCAGATCTTATCCCAGATCTTCGTGGCCTGCCCTCATTTTCACTGGAATTATCCCTATAGAATGGATTCGTGTTTTCCTCTCTTCTTAGAATCTCACTGTCATGGTCGACGGTGATTTTTACAAGGGTACCTTCCTCAATTTCAACAAATCTTTATGAATTCGGCAGATTTCCTGCTGCATCTCTTCCATGGTGAGTTCTTGAACAACTTCTGACACTTGCCTCCTAAGTGGCATGGTTGGGGTTTAGGTTTTGGAGGATTTAGGGTAGGAAAAAAAAATATGGTGGCTAATTTGAAAAATTAGCAAGGAGAATGGGCATGGGTGAAATTTGGGTTAGGTATAGGTGGATTTTGTAACCTTATGATGGACTACGGTTAAGCTAGTTCAGATACCAAATGATACCGAACTTTAAATATCTCAAGAGGAAGCAAATTTTTTTTAATGATTTCAAATATAAAATTACAACAAAAAATTGTGAAAATCAGAAATTGCAATAAAACAACAATATGACACCCAAACTATGGTTGGTTATAGGGCGGGGATAGTTCTGGGTAGGAATTTGGACCTCTGAGGAAATTGCAAGGGGTCGGATAGCGGGTTGGAAAGAGATGGCAGCGATGAGGGAATGCGTTGGCAGCAAAAGGGAGGTGGAGAGCAGCAGAAAAACTTTGGAGGTGTTGTTCAAGGTGGCGATAGCAAGAACAACTTTGGAGGTGTTGTTCAAGGTGGCGGTAGCAAGAACAACGTGACAAAAACAAAGGTTTGCCTTTTTATGGGCGGTGGCAACTAGGGGAAAGCAGCAAGGGTGAAGGGAGTCGATGCGGCAAAAGACAGGGAACAGGGAAGGGCAAATGAAGGATAAACCACCACCTAAAATCAAGATAAAGTCAGAGCACCACTTGAAACCTTAAGATACAACTCGTAAAACGAAAAGAGATGTTGATGGCTATTCTGAGATAAAATAAATCAAAAACTAACCATAAAATACCATAAAAGTAAAGATATAATCCTAGGTAACTAGGAGTGGGCCCCTCTATTGAAAAGAGGCGGCTCTCCCCCTTGAGAGAGTCAGTCGGTCCTCTGAAGCCTTGGACCGAACCAGTCCAAGCAGTAGGTGGCGCGCGTGGCAATTCTGGACCGCACTGGCTCAAACAAAAGGGCAAGTGATGCCCGCCACTCAATCTATAAAATCCTAGAGTCATAAAAATTTTAAGTCGAAGGAAAAACAACAAGTCTATATCCCCAAAATGCAAATACCTCTCATGAATATCTCAAAATAGACATATCTAACCTAACAACTTTGTCTTTTTCATCAAAACAATGACATTTTAGTTGAATTATTGAATCCTCAAAACATAAATATTGATGCTTAATAAATCAAAATTATCTTTAAAATTCTACTAATTAACATGTAATCTTAAATTTATTAAAAAAGAAGCATTCATGATTATTTTGAAGGAATTGAAGAATCAAAGGAGGGATCATCTACACGAGAAGTTTAGATTTGGGTGTCCTAACATCAACACATTATTATTCATAAATCTTCATACAACTATGAAGAAATATTTTTATGGGTAGTTTAGTTTAGTGAAAAAGGGTGTAAATTAAAAGGAATATATGCATTTGAAAAGTTGGGTGTTAATTTGGTGAAAACAGAGTTTAGAGTAATATTTTAAAGTATTTGGAATTCATCATTTGTCTCATTTTCAATGTATTTAGAATAGAACTAATTATGGATGAATTTTAAATACACCGCAAGAGTGAAGCTTTGTTGGTAAACTATCACCGTCATTAGTCGACCCTGCCACCAGCTGCCGCTGGCCTTGGCCACCACCTATGACCACGCCAGCCGCTAACATCTGGAGGCCACCTGCTAACAATGTCGCCCTGGCTACTGTCGATCACCTACCACCACCAGCTGCCCACCGCTTCCACCCCCTTATTTTATATTTATTTCATTTTTTCTTCAAATCAAACACAAAAATATAAACACGTGTATTTGTTTTGCACCGAGCTAAACAACTCTAAAATTAAAATATTTCAAATACACTACATTTCACCAACATTGAATTACGTTTACACTACATACTTTTTTTCAACAAACCAAACAACCACTAAGATTATTTTCATATTCATAACAAAGAATGGACTTTCTTTATATGAATTGGAACAATTTTATGGAAATAAAGAAAAAAAATCTCAAAGAGGTCATGAGAGCATTTCTTCCTTATTTTGTTTATATTAGCTTTGTTCAACAACATCTACCAAGTATTATTTGGCTATCTGCTTGAAATAAAAAGATATTAATATTTGGTTCTCGCATCAACTACTATTGATAGAAGGGCAAGGGTAAAATATGGTTGAAATCCAACAATGAAATTTAATGAGCACAAATGGAACCTCACTCGTAACTCTCATGAGAAGAAGCGAGGGTGATACGAATAAAACTGAAATGTAAAATTTTTCTTATAAGGTAGAACTAGGGATTAAGATCCCTCATTCCCTAATGATTTTTTTTAAAATTTTTTAAGATTTTAAACTAAGTATTGAACACAAAAATATAGTGAAATACAGTTTCAGCTCACTATAAAGAATTGAATCAAAACATAAAAAAGCTTATCTGATAGATTCAAAAAGTTGCTCTGATATAAGGCCAAACTAGGAAAAATCAACAACATTCATATTAATTTCCTAGAATACCAAGACGGAACCCTTTCTTTGATGCATATCTTTATTTATATTTCAGAATCACAACTCTCTTCAAGAGATAGAAGTTCATAGCCTGGAAAAAAAACAAAAAGAAAGAAGGAAATAGAAAACTATGAGGCGCAAGAAAACGTCCTTGTCACTTTGAAACTAGAACAACCGTATGTTGGGAGGTTCTGACCAATTAATATGAGAAAATTTTTGTGCAAAATCTCAAAGCATGGGACGTTTAGACATAAAATTTCAATGAAGTCATCCAAAAAAAGTGAATTTGAAGCTCAAAATTCAATTGGGGAGGCTGCTACCAATTTAAAACACAATGTAAGTTATCTAACCAAACCCAATTGAATGCCTAAAAGCTAAGTTGGTTCGAGATAAAATCGCTTATTTGATCGAGCAGACTTGAACTAACCACTTGGTCGTCCTAAGAGCCTATTGGGTGTAATTTGCATCATCGGGTCTGAATTGAGTTCATATGACTAACTTGCTCAAATATTCAGCCAAATGAGCTATTTGATTTGGGCTTAGAACCCTATTAAGCCAACTGGGTCAAACCAGAACCAGGCACCAGTTTTAAACAATTCGAATTTGACTAATTGATTGGCCCAATTAAAGTTAGCCTAAATAAGAAATTAGGCATTCCTAACTTTTTAATGTAAAGCTCAAGGGATTCAAGGAAAACTTATGGTGTTCAATTATGGGGCATTTTGGCTGGATTTGTTCAATTATAAAAATATGAGTTTACATATGTAAAGCTACTAAGAAAATCAAGGAGACAATTAATTTAATGAAAACAAGTTGAGGTCAATTAGCTCAACTAAGTTAACTAGACTTGAGTTATCTTTGATCAAGAGCAATTGGGCCACAAGGAACTATCAAGGTTAATTGAGGACATAAAAATCAGTCTAGTTTTGACTTGAGTCAAATAAGACTAGATCTAGGTCAATTATGACAAAAAAAGTTGGCATTAATTAGTTAAATGGTCAGCTAAGCAAACTTATTCAGCTAGCAGCAACATAGCATAAGTAGCACTAAAAGAGCTAATTAATATCAATTTATATACGAGAAGAGTGTAAAAATGGTCCCGTAACTCTTTGTTTGAGGTTATTTTAGTCCAATAGCTTGTAAAAGTGTCAAGTTAATCCCCATATATTTTTCAATAGTGGCTAAAATAGTCTTCTCTAAGGACTTTCAACATATATTAAAAGAGTCTAAAGACTAATTTCACGTTTTTATATACTCAGATTAAAATGACTCATATAAATAGTCAGAGGAATCATTTAACTGTTTACTTATTTATATCACCTAATTATGATTGAGTGGGTCACCCTAAATCAAAGAAGAGATTGAACTAACTAGGGATTCTATAAGCGAACTAGAACCATCATGATAAAGTGAGGCTACAATAGATTGAGTCAACCAAGATTGCACAAGGACAACTAGGATCACACTATGTTAGCACAGTGGATCCAACAAGTCTCTATTGAATCTATTAGGATTTTTTTGTGTTTGAGGTGTGAAGCACAATTTAGGCCAATTGGCCCCATGAAGTTTAGTCTCACCCAATAGAGACATAAGTCAACATGGGAGGAAAGACCAACCACATGGCTGCATGGGCCAGGCTACCCCAACAGAGTGGCATTGGGTCTCCACGGATTGTTGCAATCAACCTAAAAGCTCACATACGTCATATGAGATTCAGAGGAATGCACTGAGACAAGAAAAACCACAGCTGCACGGGCCAGGCTAGCCCAACAGAGTAGCATCGAGTCTCTACGGATTGTTGCAATCTACCTAAGCTCATATATGTCAAAGGAGGTTCCGAGGAATGCACTAAGACAAGAAAAATTCAAATTTGGATATTTTCCATTAATTTTGCTTATAAATGATTCAATACAGATACATTATAACTGGCATTGCGAAGTAGCATTCATAAGGAGAGACAGCAAAAGCATACCATGTTTAGAATAATCAACTGAATTTAATCAGAAAATAACAGAAGAAAGGAAATCAAATTAGCTCAATACAAGTTATTTACCTGTCTGGTTTGAATAGGAGATATCGATAGATAAACCACTGAAGAACAAAGGTTGTTGTCAGACCTATAAGAAACAAATTCTGGAAAGGGATATTTACATACATACTACCCAATTCCTATGCATTTACATATCTAACACCTAAACTTTGCTTTTTTACATTTATAGCACCCAACAAATCATTCATATCACGCACCCAAATCATTCATATCACACAAAAAATACCACTATTTTAACGTTTAAAAAGTGAAATACAGCTTTTTTATGCGTAGGTAATATGCCATACATGAAAAAATTGAAGTTCAGGTGTCAAATATGTAAATAAAAAATAAGTGAGTGGTATGCATGTCAATCTTCCTTCTGGAAAATATTAATTCAAAGAACAAAACTAAGACATATCATCTCACCCAGGAAAACAATATTCCAACGAATTCAAGAACAGTGGGGAGCACAGGTAGTCTGTCAATGACCTGAAACAAGAAGCAGAAGGGCCAATAAAACAGGTGAGGTAAATATGTAATATATGGAATCTTATTACTTCAGTTCTTCAAAATGAGGCTTGCCAAGTTCAAATCTGCACAAATGGCAATGCAAATTACCGCAATAAGGTTTAACGAGGCCCAAACTCCAGCAATAGACGCAAATCCTAAGCCAACCAGAGCAATTCGATCTTCATTGCTTTCCCACTGCTTTAAAAGAAACCAAAATTAAGGAAAAAAAAGGGTTAAATGATCTCATAAGATGCAAAAAATAGCTAAAAATTTAGGGGCATTTACATACATGTCACACAATCCTTATGTATTTACATATCTAACACCTAAACATTAATATATACATACACAGAGCTCAAATTTTGACATCACATCAAAAATACCACTCTCACTACCTTTTTAAAAGTGAAATACACTTATTCATGCATAGTTTTATGACACCAAGATGTTGTAAATGTAAATATCAAATTTTGGGCTTTCAATATGTAAATACAAAAGAATTGTGTGGTATGCATGTGAATTTTCCAAAAAATTGTAGACTAATGAACGTATAGAACTAGAAGATGCAATCTCTTGTAATTTAAAAACAGATTCTAATGTGGGAGCTTCTTTGGGTCAAGGCATTGTAGTTGATACAGTATCGTGGTCCAACCCTTCTCCCCTTTTCTTTTTCTTTTCCTTCCTCTTCCCTTCTTTTTCCATAATTCTCCTATTTTATTTCCTACCCATTCAATGCATGCCTTTTCTATTTCTTTCCTTTCCTAAGCATTACCTATTATATTTACAAATTCTCATTATATATATAGCTGTCGAGGGTTTTAGAG